AATCGCGCTAAAGTTTCCCGCAAAGTCAATGCGCCGCGTTACTGAAACTACGCCATCCGGTAAGCTTCAAGGCGATCTATTCCGCGGCGGTTCACGCTCGTAAAAGTTCACGAGCTCGACAATTACATGAAAGAGTCGTAAAAGCGTAATGCCCCGTGGCCAGAGTTCTCTACCATCGTCATATAACGACGTCGTATACGAGCATCCTCCGCGACCAACACGCTTACACGAGTCTTCGCGTCCGTGTCGCATCGGAAACAAATTCCTGCGAGCGAGAATCGACTCGATTTCTGGCGAGTAGAGAAAGGGAAGGGAAAGGAAGAGGAGAGAAGAAAAAAAAAAAAAGAACAAAATGGAGAGAAACTGCGAGCGGGACGAGAAGCGAGTGTTAGCAAACGAGCCGTGGCGGTTATAGTGGTTTTTCCACGTGGAAAAGTCAGTGGGCGCCGGAAATACGAAACCAGCGTTTATATACTCCCGGAATATAAAACATCTCGGCCACTTGCTCGCAGTGCATGAACACGAAAGCCTTTAAAACTCGGCTGCGGACGGCACCGAGTGGAAAAAAGAAGGTAATTCCCCGGTGCAAAAAAGAGGAGAGCAGACGGTGGGGAACGCGAGAGGGGATCCAGTGATATTCAACTGCTAAATTAAGCAAAATGTTTCGCTGTAAGGATCTCTCGAATTTTTTTTTTTTTCCTTTTTTCCTTGCGCTGTCACGGTACGGACCAATCGAGTATCGATTCCATTCAGAAGTTAATTAAGATTACACGACGAGGCGAACACGATGTCTATTCGAACGTGATGGTTTGTCTTTTCTCATTGGACATCGGCGAAAACGAATCATGGACATATATTACCTTCGACGTTCCTTCGAGAGAGAGCGGCGGCGGCGGCATCTCTCTGATTGGCATTACGTTGAAGAAATAACACCTGCTTCGGGCGGAGAGAAAATGATGAAAATATCTTGATATAATGTTACATACAGAGTGTCCCACAATTACGAAATTCGAATAAATAAAATGAAACGAATGGATCTTTATCCACCTTCCTAAGGAATAAACACAGCGAGAAAGTGAGACATCTAGTGGATGTCTAATGCAACGCTTCCCACACCCGCCGATTTCGTTCATTTTTCGCCATCCCCGTTCGAGACACCCGGTATACATATCCAACGAGATACACACGAGACGATAATGAATAGGTTCGACATCCCGGCTGAATCATTCCAATTACGCTCGAGCGTACAAACCGCCACCGATTCATTAGAAGAGAGCGAGAGAGAGAAAGAGAGAGCGGTCACTCTCGCGCGTTACCGTGTTTACGAGTCACTCGATACGTCGGTACGGCGTATGTCCGACAAGTGTGTTGTTGTACCTGTTGCTAACGCGCGCGCGCGTGCACCACGCCAATACAATAAATTCTTGTTGCGTCAATGATTAATCACGAGTGACAAAACGGTGTAATATGATACCGACCGCCGCGGCTAATAACAAATGACCGCGGGACGATTCGATCGTTCGCGCGGTAACTCGGCCCTATACTGCTACATAGAGACCCGGGGGCATCGAGTGTATTTTTCTCGCGATTCAATCGAGACGCGGATGCTCGAACACGTTTGACAAACGAAGCGCACTCGCTCGATGCTCATTTTTAGAACGACGACGACTTCATATGTATGGAGGAGCGGGACAGATACGGATGACACGGGGGCTCTGGAACAGGCGGAGAGACACGTAACACCGGTACACCGTACGCGGGGAACATCGATTTTTAGGTTTTACGATACGTATTTTTGATAATGGCGAAACAAGTTGCTGTTCTTGAAAACGTGCCAACGAGGGATGGATTGCGAGGATTTCGATCGAGGTTATAAGCGGTCTTCGCAAAGTTTATTGCCTTTCGAGGTAACCTTTGGATCCCTCGTAAAACAGTTTAAAATGTTGCAGCTTTTAATATTAAATAGAGGCGGTATCCTGAGATACCTGAAACGGTAAATTTTAGGAAAATTTACTTGACGGTTCTTGATATTTGATAAATTTTAATACGGGCACGATTATATTTCATTTATATTTATGCGAGCAATTCGTGAAAGGAAGAAGCACTAACTAGCAATGAAGCATTTTCGATTTCTAGAAATTTCTTTTCTCGCGATAAAGTTTAAGTTTGAAGATTATTTCAAGACGGTCCTTCCTGTAAATATTATCTTCTCGTTGAAAAAAAAAAAAAAAGAAAAGAAAAATGTAAATCTTCGAAGAGAGAAAGCAACGGCCTTTGGAGGAAAGAAGATCGATCGTTCGATCGATGTGCCGAGACACGACATCGTTCTCGCAAGTCGTCGCGCGATTAATCTTCGTGTTGCGTGAATCGGCGGAAGTGCCACGTCCACGCAAGCAGCCAGCGTGCATTTTATATGAAGTCATTTGCATCGAACGCGACCACGAAGTGTGGCCTATAAATTACCGCGTGTCCGTGATAACCGCAACGCCAAACGAAAAAAGACAATAAACTGCAACGACACGAATGCTTCTGTTTGTCCTCCTTACCGCTCTCTCTCTCTCTTCCTCCCCTTTTCCTCGTGAACACGGCTACTTTGCACGACTCCGATCTAATTGCCACTCTCCACACGGAGCAGGAATCAATCGCATGCACGACTGACCGTTCGTGTGCAGGTGAATTAACACGTGACTGCCCATTGATGTTTAGCAGCTCTCGTGTCTTTGAACGGTGAAGTATCCGCTCTTTCGCCAAGGATTATGCAAATCTGTTGCGGTATCGTTTATTTATCGTTCGATTAATTTTTTTTCCTATCTTTCGAAACCCTTTCTTCCTCTTTTTTTAAGTCAATCGAATAACGAGTGGATGATCATTTTCTACAATCGTAACATTCACTTAGAAAACTCGACAAAAGAAGAAGAAGAAGAAGAAAGAAAGAAAACGATTGAAAAAAGGAGCCGAAACGAAACGCGCAAACAAAAATTTACAACTTAAAATTTTCCTTCCTAAAAAAAAAAAAAAAGAAGAGGGAAAAAAAGATTTATTACCTTATAAAACCACGTCCCCTTTCAACAATGATTTTAACAAAACACGATTCGAAGAACAATTCCCATCAACTACCTACTACAAAAAGGGTATTAAACACAATGGTTCGGAGGGAAGATATATCGTAAAGGATCGTAAAGCCCGCGCATCGATTGCGCGGACGGCCGCGCATGATCCGCGTGGCGCGTAAATTCGAAAGGCGTTCCTCCGCGACCCAGCGCGACCTTCTCCGTAGGAGGCGGCCCTTGTATTCGCGCGCTAATGAAGACGCATACACACCGTGCGACGTCGCAATAATGAAGATCTACGGACGAAAGTAAAGCCTATATATATATATAAAACTGTTCGCACACCTGCGTGTGCAGTCGACCGAAAAGGAGAAGGTGTATCCGCGGGAAGAAGCCGTTGAACGGGTCGTCTGAATGGGCGATGGTGTAAAGGTCCACCAACCAGCGGTGTTGTGTGCCGGTTTCATTAGGACGTGCGTACACGTAGATCGGCTCGCTTCTTTTTCTCACATTTTTCTTCGTATGAAACGAGTCAGATTTATGGATTGTTCTTGGTAGTGGCGGGTTTTAACACTCCCGCCGTTAAAATGGCTGTTGACGGAGAGCTTATTGATGGAGTTTGTCGGAATGGAGGAAGGTGGTGGTGTTTTCTCCTTTTCACGCGGCGAGAAGTTGTGGATATTACTACTGTCGTTCGTTCGCAATGCACCGTATTTTGTGACGCCCGATCTAAGACTAACGGTATAAACGGAATTGTTTCCGTATAAAATTATAATAAACGGTCTGTCCATCAGATAGTTTTTGGTAATTTTAAATAACGATAAGAAAGGGGGAAGAAAGGTATTAATTTTTTAAAAACCTTTTCAATTATACAAATATTTACATTTTTGAGCGTGGAATGGAAGCATAGCGTTTATTCTAGTCGAAGATTATCCCGTGATCGTTTCTTTTTATTAATGGAATTCTTTTGGAAGAAGAGGAAGAAGAAAAGGAAAAAAAAAGAGTACAAGCAATAAAGCATGAGAGGAGTACGTGTTATTAAAGTCTTTCCAACCAGAAAAGTAGGAGCAATTTCCAACCGGATAATACCGTAGCGAAGAAGTTAAATATTCTGGAGATTGGTATGATTAACCGGGAGAGTGGGAGCTACTGGATTTAAAAGAAGTGGTTATTTATGAAACCTCTCGTGTAATTTTCAAGAAAACGAGGAGAATTAAGCGGGTAAGTTGCTCGTTAAATTCGGATGGAGAAGGTGCGTTATTGCTGCGGACATTAACAAATGGCATCGTAAAACGATTTATATCCTCCAACAATGAGCAAACAAAAATCTCGAATAATAATAGAAATTCGTAGTTATGTTTTTTTTTCTTTTTTTTTTTTCTTTTTTCAAGAAGAGATTATTCTACGAATTGTTTCAAATTTTTACTTTCTACTCTCTTTCTTCCTTTGTCTTGTGTAATGTACAATTCTATTAATTATGTTTATATTGATGAATCGTAACGATAAAATACCATTTTAGTTGGAACTTCTATTAAATTAATATTCCGAAATGTAATAATAAACAGTAGACAAATTAAGTTTGCAACTTTTGATGAGCTATAATTCTACAAAGTTCGTTTGTTTCTATGACAATATTCAACACGTTATACCATCGTTTATCACGTAAACTGTATCACAATTCCGAACTATTGTTGATAAAACATTGCGGCCGAAACATATTCGAATAATTAGCAATGTCAACAAACGATGTAATTTTAATGTTGAGACAAATTCAGATGGATCCATTACGTGAGATCCATTTCGTTCTTAAATTGAAATTCGCAATAAATGCGTAAAGGTAAAGTGATTGGTGTTGGCAAAAACGAAGCAGCACAATATATCTTATTGATTTGTTTAGAAAGAAAAAGATTTCACGAATTAAAAATAAAAAAAAAAAAATAATCGACTCACCATAACGTAGTGACGCTGCATCTCAGTCTTCTCCTGGGCGAGTTTCTCTAGCTCCAATTTAATACTGGATAAAACAAACAAGAAAACGCAAATATAAGCAAAACATTTATAAATACGTTCAAAATCTTATGATAAGAATATATTTATAAAAATAAAACTCTCGTTCCAAGTTATTTTTCACTAACGAACATTGCATTGAGAGATTCTGAAATTAGTGTCTCTCGAGAATTTGAAATATATTCGCAATCTTCGAGGATCGAATCGAAATAGAAATTTAGAATAAAACTGGTAAAAAAAAAAAAAAAAAACAATAATTACGGATATATTTTTATTCGAAATGTTTTTTTACGACAGAAGTTTATCTTCTCTTTCCGTGTAAAACGATTGATATCACGATGTCTTTTTTTAAAATGGCATATCCAAAGCAACTGCGTGAATAATTCATAGAATGAATCGATGGAGGAATTCAATGGATTCGCGTAAACTCGATCTCGAGAAAGAGAATCGATGGATCGTTGATGCCTTATTTGCCAAGATTCGTGTTACAATTTTCGAGAAAACATCTCTACACAGGATGATACAAGAGAAAAAAAAGAAGAAGAAAATGATTCGTTTCAAAATATAATAACAGCTTGTAGACAAACTAATAAACTCGCTTCATTACAGACATTTATTAATGATTCGCTTCAGTGGTCGCTGACTAATCGATTATACAGTTCGATAAATTTAACAAGGTCGGCTTCTTATTATTCGAATGATGAAATAACGGATATGGATTTCATGCGTATCCTTTTAAAAGAGATTTAATAATCATAATATTGAGCGAAGGTAAAATTAATCGAAAGTCTTCCGAAATTCGTCGAACAAGATGCGTTACTAAGATATAAAATCTCTTTGTTCGATATCGTGTGTACTTTGACTCACGTTTCTTAATACCTTTTATAATATTTCTTTTCTCGCGTAATCTGTGAAATATTAATCCACATTGCTTATCTTCGAATGGATAAAAAGGAAAGACGAATTATATGAAATTAAAATTTATGATGATATCATCGTATGAGATCATAATTTTTCATATTTAATTTCAATTAATATGAAAATGAAGAATAACAAAATTGTGTCGGGGGCACTATTTTCGAGAGTTTTTGAAAACTATACACGAATACTTATACCACACCAACAGATGGATAATTTTCAATGATTTTATAATTAAATTTACAGATCGATCGAGCAATAACAAGTGGCATTTAGTATTTTGTAATAATAATAATAATAATAATAATAATAATAAAATAATTGAATTTAATTGTATTAAGCGTTTAATTATGTTACGGAATATTACATATCCCTGCAATTTGTATTTCAAATATAAAAATTAAAAAAAAAAAAAAAAAAAGAAGAAGAAGAAGAAGAAACATTTATAACACATTTTTAATACTTTCGAATGAAAGAATAAAAGAAAATTACATTCGCAACTTCGTTTCAACGATCAAAATTAATTAAAGCGAAATTAATCAATTCATACATGAAAGATCAATAACACGTTTCACCTGTCTTTTTTATTAGAACGGAAGATAAATCGATAAATCAACTTGCGAGATATTTCATCCGTATGATATGTAAAGAAGTCGAATAACACGGTGAATAAAATTCATATTGATATCGGGTCGCATGTAAACTGCGCAAATTTTTATGCAAATACATAATACTTTTTGTACTACACATTCTACATAATTTGCATAACAGACAGGAATATACGATCGAAAAAAGTTTAAGATAATAATTCTTCGATAACACATTTTTCCTTTTACTATTTATACGGTTCAAAAAAATCAACCATCCGTCGGAAAAATATGGCAACCAGAAAGTTAAGCGCGACCGTCAAACAATCGCCAATCCCACAACGATAGTTGATTTTTCATCATCGGCCGGGGAATCGATCTTTTATCGACACGTGGTTATCGGCTCTCGGGCAAAAAATAATAGGGCGTTAAATGGAAAATTAATTTCCATCGATGCCCCACCCCCCCCTCCTCTCTCTCCTCCATTTCACGGCGGAAGTAATTTTTTAACGAGAAACGCGCGTCATATTTTTGTTTACCGCGTCGACAGCGAAATAGACCCGCGTTCCTGCGAAATTGCATCGCCGCTCGCCAATTCCGTATAATAAATACGCGGCCGTAATGGCCGAGCACCGTTGCTGCTGTTACTGCTGCAACGCGCGTAACCCCGCGGAAAACCTTCCACGAGTGTTGGTACTTGTACCAACGATTGCTCGATGCTACACGTTTGCAACCGTGTTCAAACTGGTATATCTGGCAGAGCGAGATAATTCCCGGTTTTCTCCGCGTTATAACACCAATTAGACGGGGATTATGCTTTACGATATTTTTCTTTCGCTTTATTGCTCAACGTGTTACGAGTTTGTGGAACTTTGATAGTTGTGTAAGTTTTACCTCAACGGCTTGGAAATCCCGATAAATGCGATATCTTTGGAAATATTCGGAAAGTATTGGTTTTGCACGATGATGATTATACGATGATGAGAAAGGGAGGCAAAGTATATATTTCGATTATTATTTTGAGACGGTGCCTGTTATTGAAACGCCGGAATTAATTAACGCTTACACTCGTCGACCCGCTTAACCCGATCTTTATTTTGCACTTATTGATCCTATATCTGCATATAGCAAGCGAGGATTAACGTAACAGGATTCATTCGTTGCCTCGAATAGAAACCGGTGTACCTATTACGTAACGAGCAATACACGTTTTTAATCGTATTAAAAAAAAAAGCGGAAACCAGATGACTGATGGATAATATTACCTCGTTCTGTCGAGAATACAACGTTTTTTAACGTTTCCGATTGTATCTTAAATATTCCATAATAAATAACAAATTAATTGTACGGAATTGGTTGAACGAATTGGAAGAACGAGGCAGAAAAAGGCGAGGAACACGCGCCTTCTATAATCTTGGAACAACGTGGGTGGGGACAGTACTACACCGTGTGTAAACACATCCTCTCCTTCCATTTCTTGTTTTCCACCATTCTTTTCCACCTCTCGGCTTACCCCATCCCGTAATACCTTTGTATCTCTGTTTTTTTCACTCTCTCGCCAGTTTCTCGCACTTCAATTTAAGGCCGTATAAAGGGAACAAGAACAAGGTATTAATATCCACCGACCCTCGTGAACGCAGAATTTGCCTTTGTTTGCCTGTTCCGTTCGCGTTGGCCGTCGTTATAATTCCGTGGCATTAAATTAAAACGCACGCGTTCACGTTTCCGCGATGACAATAAAACTAACGAGAAAAATTGTTAACAACCGAGCGGGGAGGGGAAACAAAGGGCTGAAAGAAGACAGGCCGGCTAATTTAAACACAAACGGAATAAGAACGGAATCAGTTTCTCATTCGTCGAAAGAAAGGATAATAACTCGATCATCCTCGTAAAAGTTATTCTTTGACGATATACAACGCTTCCAAGTAAAAAGAGAGAGAAATATATTAACATCGAATCGTGACACGTATCACGAATATCCAAATAATCGAAACGTAGAAGAGAAAAATATAATACAATTATAATTCTGCTTGGAAAAAAAAGAATATTATTTGTATCTAACCTCAATCTACGTTATCCATTGTCTCTCGCTCGTTCACTAACCTCTTCGTATCTCGTCACGATGGAGAATGATCTATCAAACGTTTCAAGGATCGATTTTCACTCGTTAACACACAATTAACAATTAAAATTCGTCGAACAGAACAAGATCGATCGAAAAAACAAAAATTATCACAAGATTCACGTGCGCGAACGAACGACAAACTGTGGCATGCCAATATGGCGGCATGCCAATATGGCGGCGCATCGATAGACGAATCGAGAGTCGATTATCGTTCTCGTCTCGATTCTCGAAGTGCAAATCGACACAGCTGTATACCTCTGCTTTTTCAGCCATGGACGTCAGTTTCTGCCACGGTTGTGCCACGGCACGATCCGTGATCGACGGACAATATCGTATCGCGCGTGCACACGGGACAGTCGTCGTGGCCGCGTGAAATAGCCCTTCCGGTTACTGAACGCGATCTGCACGCCCGATACTAAGCGTAACGAGAGACCGTACGCTCGTTTTTACGCGCGTTGGCGAACCGCTTTAAAAGGAACGGTTGAATTATTCAATAGAGGGAGTTCTGCTCGGTTTGGCGCGCTGCAAATTAGACGTTCTTCGAGAACCTTGTTCGGCAAAAGTATTCCGGTTGGACGCGTTTTTCTTACGTACGGCATTTTCCAATCTCGCGGCGCAAAGATACTTAAGAGATATTAGTCCGATTGGTTTAAAACGCTCTTCGTCCAAGCTTTTTTCCTTCTCTTTTAGACTTCTCGTACTTCTTCGCTCCCTTTCTTTCACTTAAAATACCTACGTATCTGCAAGCTTTTCAGTTTTCAAGGCGAAGTTAAGATATTATTTTTTAATTTTCGAGCAAAATTGGGAAGGTTATGCGAAATTTAGAAATTCGATTTTATTTTTCTTAACGACGAAAGGAGAGTAATGATTTTAAGCGTCGAAATAATTTCTCGAAATAAGATACAACCTGATTTCGAGTCGTTCTAATAACAAATAATATATACACATATTAAAAAAAAAAGAAGGGAAAGAAATATCAAAGTAAAAACAAGAAAATACCGTAGCTATTTTCGATCCTGTCTTGAAACTCGAGCCAACCCCTTGATTCCAGTGGCCAAGTAAGGAGGAATCGAGAGCGAGAAAAGGAACGGTTACGTCACGATAAATTAGCACGATATTAACGATCGATCGGACGATAATTCTGGTTGCGGGGCCCAGGCCAGGCCCATTAATTATCTCAGATTGGCGCGGCACAACAATTTACAAGCCCGTCTTATCGGCCGTCCGCTTCTCTCCTCGCCTCCGTGAACGTTCCTACGGCGCGTTATAAATAATTGAAAGCGAAAACGGCGCGCACCTGTTCCTCGTCGCGAGGTGTACATACACGTCGCGAAATTCCCCGCCAATGGTTCCACCTCTCTCAATTTGTAAACAGCAAATTTATAACCCTCCCCGCTCCTACAATTCTCGCGCGGGATCGAAAGCGTTTATCCGGGCGTACACAGCCGTTTGATAATAAAACTAACGCGGCCCCCGCCGCCACTTTCCGCATCATCGAGCGTATAATACAGACATAAAATGAATTATTCCGTACGATCGGCGCTGTTTGCGCGATCGGGAAAATCCTGCGCCACACGGCTTATGCAATCTTTCGTCTCTCCCCTCGAAACGGTGTACGGTATTCGGTTGCATTATGATCGAAACTGTCGGATATAAATCACCGGGGAGGGAGGGGGAGGAGGAATGTGTTTTTCTCGTTTAACGCATTCGCTTCGTTCGAGTTTCGGCTCGCCTGGTCGAAGATTGGATCGAAGATTATTGCCCCCTCGATAATTCGAATCGATCATGGTTCGAAGACGGGCAGTATTTAATAAAATCACGAATTAACTTGCTTCGATAATAATAATCGGAAATAATCGTAGGAAAGGCAAATTGCTTAACACTAAACCTACCACGGCGCGGTCAAATGACCGTTTTTGAAATTTCGTTTCGTAGAATTTCTTGTATACAAAGTTACTGTATCGCCATATGACTTATCGACGTTTTCTATAATGTAGATCTACAATCCATTTTTCAATATTCACAATTTTCTGTACTGTTTACTTCACGAATCCAATAATTAGTTAAAATCTCTTTCTATATTAAGATACAAATGCTGCTTTTTTGCAGCGGTCATGGTAGGAATAGGTATACATGAAATGCCGGTAGGTTTTTTTGTTAAAGCGATTTAATCGAAATTTTTAACTCGATATTACTTTTTCAACGAGTACGATTACGAATCTTTAATATTCCGCAACTAAATCGATAACCGTCCAACAAAAACCTTTTCTTCCCTTTTCCTTCTTCCGAACAGCCGAGAGAAGAAAAGTCTCGCGAGTTTTGCGCGAGATCATTAGCCGTCGAACATCCTCGAGAAGAGGAGGTCGGGGCGAGGAAAAATCGAGCACTCTCCGGAAGAGTTGGCGCGCACCGAGTGCGAAATTGCCTCCACCACCACGAAGAACCTTTGCGAATCGTCCTGTGCGCTGCATTCGAACGCACGGGATGTCGCACGCCGCTCACGTACGCCTCGTACGTATTTATGCATGTATGCACACCAGAGCCCCCCCCTCCCTGGGGACCCCCCCTCCAGCGTTGAGTCCGACACGAAACAGCAATTTAAGTTTCCGTCGCCGGTGGAAATCGTGCGGCACGTGACGTCGCGAATTAACACGTTAAAGGGTCGGCGCATAAATTAACGCGTCAAGCCGATAAGGATCGTGCGGGCACACGGGTGGAAACGGAAGAAACCTCCTCCTCTTATCGGTGAACCCTTTTCTCTTACTCGTGCGAGGTTCGCGTGTTGCGACCGAGGCGCGATCCTATCTCTCCACCGATTACACACCACCACCGCGCGCTTCTATACTCGTTACGCCGGTTTTTTCTTCGTTTTTAACGACGTGGTGACGCGAAGAATTCGAAGGGATCGGATTCTTTTTTTTTGTTCGGTTCGAAATATACTTTTAGTCTCACTTCTCGTATTTATTTATCTTTGGAATCGATATTAATCGTTTGCACTCGTATTTGTATTTAAGAAGATTGCCAAGATTGTAATTGTGTTATATGATATATAATAAAATATAGGATGGCGATTATACGGCGAGTGCAAAGGGTTAATATTCGTGTTTTTATTTCGTTATTTGGTGAATTCGAAGAGATTGGATTCTTTTTTTTTTTTTCTCCCTCCAAGTTTTTAATCTTGCTTCGTTTCTCGTATTACTGTATTTATTTATCTTTGGAATCGATATTAATCACTCGTATTATTTAAGAAGGTTGTCAAGAATGTAATTATATCATTATATAACATCATTTTTTTTTCCTTCCTCCAAGTTTTTAATCGCTGCGTCTTGTTTCGTTTCTCGTATTATTGCGATCGTTTATTTTCGTAATTGGCATTGATCCCTTAAGGTTGCAGTAACAAAAGTTCATAGAATGTAATTATATCATACGCATAATAATAATAAAATGCAGGATGGCGAAGGGTTAATCGTGGCTAGTAGCAAAAAGATAGGTACACCCCGAGGCGAGTGGAATTCTCGAGGATGCATTGTAACAAAAATCGAATCGAACGTGACGAATAAGATGTCAAGTGGAGAGACGACAAAAAAAAAAAAAAGAAAAGGAAAGAAAAGAATTCTAAAATCCAACAAACTTTCACTCCTCGCATCACCCTTCATTTATCATTTACCTTTATTTACCTGGAGGATTAACTTCTCGAATTACTATTTACCGAAACAAACCACCTTCGCCCAACAAAGGACAGAGTCCAATATCGAAAGTTGAAGAGCCGTAAAGCGCGTTTATCGCGGCAAAGCACAATAGGGGAGTCGGAATGGTTGGAGAGGGGTCATTCGAGTCGAGGAGAGAGAGAGAGATCGAGTGGCAGCCGTGTCGAAAGAAAATATGTTACAAGACGTATTCACAAGGAAACTGAATGGGCTGGTAGACGCGTAACACGCGTGCATAGAATCGAAACCGAGGGCCTCGATCCTCTCTGCTTGCTTGCGTGTGCCTGTGTGCATACTCGAGTGTGCATAGCTTCCGCTCGGACAAACAATTCTCTGCCTACAACTGTCGGCCTCCTGTCCATGCTCGCTTCGCCTACGCGCTTCGACACGACGTTTGCGCAAACATTTCCCCAAGATAAGATCAGACGTACGCCCCAAGAATTGACTCTTGCTCGATTAATTATCCGGGATAAATAATCCTTTGTTTTATCGCGAGGGAAAAAAAATATAGAGAAAACTAGGAAAATACGATCGAAATGAGATAAAGGCATCGAATGGAATTTTAATCTTCTTTCTATTCGATCGATTATAACTTGTTACAATAAGCGTGGTAAACAACAAGGTGGGTTTCTTTCCACTATTATTTCCACTTTCGTCGATTATGGGAGGGAAAAAAAAAAAAAGGAATCAGAATTATCTCGTGTCTCGCTTGTCCTTCCATCCTCTTCGTCAAGAGAAATAATAATTCTCGGGCCGCTACTATCGCTATTACCGTTTCGCTACGATTCATTTTCACTTAATTCACGTGTGACAACCGTGTGTCGTGGCGCGAGGAGAACGTAATTCCTGCTTTCACCGACAGCGTATAATTGTTGCGAATGATTACAAACGATCTCCACGCAACGTTCGATCGAAGAGAGTGATAAAGAACGGATATTTAATTCGAAACTCGGATCCCTATCTAAAGCAAAACGTGACGCGTATAATTTTTCTCGGCGAGGATCGTTCTTCGAGAAAAAAAAAAATAAAAGAAGAGGCGCGTTTTCTCGAATCGAGCAAAAAAATTCGAGGAGGGATGATCAAAGGGGATCGTTGATTTATAGGCAAAATGGAAATAAACATTTACCTGTGATATTGCGTCTGAAGAAAGTTGAAATCCTCCTTGATACGATCGCAGAGCTCGCCGATTGAGAATTTATATTGTTGGCCTGGTTGCGGCGGACCCTGAAACACGACGAATAAAAAGTTGAGGGGATCGGCTGGAAAAAAATATTTCGCTCGAAACGAGACGAGCAACACCGTTTCCCGAGCAAAAACACGTTTCTTTCCAAGGATGGAACGAACGAACGAGGAATCTTCTCCCCGATTCGTCGACCGCTCCCTCGCCATTGTTACGCATTTTGTTGGGGAGAAACGGTATAATTAACCGTTTAACCGGTATCCGGATGAAGCGAAATGCCATTTTGTCCCCGCGACGAAAGTAGAGGTTTTCGAGGTATGTATCGCTATGTATCGTGTAAAAACCATTTAGTACTTCATTTACATTTTATCGTTAGGGAAATAAAGTTTTCTTTGCGCGTTGGCGGAAAAAATATATATATATATATATTTTTTCCCCTCATTCTCTTTGCGCGTGCAGCACGAAAAATACGAAAGAATGGTAAATTAGGAGGAAGTGAAATTAAAAAAAATCCTTTCCCCAAATTTCTGAACGAACAATCGAAATTTCGATGGAAAGAATATTTGAATAAAAAAAAAAAGAAAAAGAATAGGAGACACATTCTTTCTTTCAATATCAATTTAATGTTCTAAGAAATCCTCAATTTAAGCTTGATTAAAAAAGTAGGTATTATTTTTTTACGATAAAAATTTGGAGGGAGGAGGAGCATTATCTAAATAATAACGAGGTACGCTTTATAAAATTCCCTTGAAGCAATTGATTTTTAACCCACCACCATCAGAGTAAACGGACCTCGAACGTCTGATGTATAATGCACTTTCCCATGCGAGCGTGTATCTCGTCGACGATGAAAAAGGAAGCCCTCGAAGCGGCAGGCGACTAAAAGGTTACCCTTAAACGACTCTGCTTGATCTTGTTTGCAACCGAGCGTAGCCCGAGACGGGAGGCGGGAAAATATTTCCTCGTGACTCGAATTTCCATCGAGGGAAGGAACAGGTTGCGCGACCTTGTTGTTTCGATCCAGAATTAAAACTCTCGCTACTTCGGTTACACGCAAATATTTCGGGGATAAAAAAAGAATATATCGAAAATAAATCGATATCGTTTCCTATTCTATCCTATTTTTTGTACTGTAAATTGCCAAAAAAAAAAAAAGGAAATCAATCGTATAAATGCATCCGTGAACAACACTGTTTCGATCTTCTTTAACCGCGCCGCAGACGAGCGAGGAAAAAATGGTTAAGCTCGTAAAAAGAGTCATAAAGCGCTCGATGGTTCTGTCAAATCAGAGTAGAAAAAAAAAAAAAAATACTCGCATTGACGATTTCAAAACAAGGTCTTTTCTCAATTTTTACGACGGTACAAAAAAAAAAAAGAAGTTGTGAACAATTCACGGCACGATCACCCATTATCAGGGATCTCTTGTAACTCTATTTTACTCGTCTTTTTCCTCTCCTCTCCTCATTGTGGAACGAAAGGAGAACAATTTTTCAAAACGAAGTATTACATAAATTGTCCAACAGTTTCACAGACCTCTTCGCCACATACCACGAGAAATACAAATCCTCTCTCTCCGCCAATAATGCACCCGGTTTATTATCCAATTTTTAGCTGGATCCAAAGCGTCACGTGAGCGTTCCCCAAGCGTAATCGAACATGGCGATTGCGGTACGGAACGAACGGTAATCCTTCGATGTGCCGGATGCACTTGTCACGGCCCACGTAAGCAGCCGCCTCGAGGCATGCACACACGAGGATGCAACCGGCATAAGCGGCGGAAATCGTGCCGCTGCTTTGGCTTCCGTTCGCTGATTACGCCTACAGTTTAAACCTGCGCGTATATATCCCGACAGAGACGTGCTACTTGCACATCGTGCGCATATATACGTCTCTTTCACTCTCTCTCTCTCTCTCTTCGAATCGACAATTTCAGCTCGTAAAAGCTCGAGGAGTCTACGAGGGAGAGAGAGAGAGAGAGAGAGAGAGAAGAAGAGCGGGAAAGGAAAAAAAG